GTAAGTAATATATATATATATATATATATATATATATATATATATATATATATATATCATAGGAAATTAGATCATTTTTATAATGACAAATTTTATGCAATATATTTAAGGATAAAATAATTTTTTGTATATAATATATAGTCATTAGTGATGAATAAGATTTTATTCAACTACGAAATACATATAACTTTAGAGACAATTGATTTCGTCACTAATTGAAGTAAAATAATAAGTGTCGATATAATTTTATCGGTAGTAATATAATTTTTAGTGATAAAGAATACTATTAACTACCAAAAAATATACTTTTTACCACAAATAAATTTGTAACAAATGTTTAAGCTTTTGGGGAAGATTTTTTCTTTTTGTAATTAATATAAGACTTTTATCGACGAAACACTAAATAGTCTATGTATACTTTTTGAAACACTCATTAGTGACGTCTGAGTGAAGAAATCTTTTTCCTCACACAAGATTTTTGTGACGAAATATAATTTATAAATGACGAAATTATTTGTCCCTGATAATCGAATTTGTTGTAGTAATAACTAAAGAGTTTTATTTTAAAATGATATTGGAAATTTCATGCTCATTATAGTATTTTGTTAGGACCGGAAATAAGCAGGTGTAAATGCGGAAGCTAACAAAGCAAACCTACAAAGACCACGAGTAAGAAAACAACGAGAAATATACCAAAAGACACAAAGATTTAACGTGGTTCGATCAATCGACCTACTTCCACAAAGTAGACGAGCAATCCACTATAAATATGAGAGTACAAAATACAGAGAGAAACAACCTCAATCAATTCACTCGGAATACATGGGAGGTTCAGACAAGTGATAACGCATCAAATTTGTGACCCATAAATTCTCTCCCTAACCAAAACTCTCAAAACCCTTAAGACTACATTGTGAATGCTGATTAAGTTAGAAGGAAAATGCCTCTATTTATAGAGTCCTAAATCTTTTCCTACCAGAATAAGGATTAATCAATCCAAAACATTTTCCTAAAAGGAAAACCTATTTATAATAAGAAATTTAGGGCATATAAAACCCAACATATTTAAGATTCTCCCTTATAGATGTAGCTTCAACTACTTATGTTGGTTGTATCATGAATTATATAACATTTAGCTACTACCATATTACCACTATGATACCTGATACAAAATGCTGATGCACTAGTACTACACTTTCTTAAATTAGGAGGAGGGTTCCTTAAAAGAGAAGTTATGTTTTTACTATTCCAATTTTGTAAGAATAAGATTCCAAGAGTTGTAGCGGCATTTTCCCTTTAAATCTAAAAAGAATGAATTTTAAAACTATATCATTAATACCTCAGTACACTCTAACTTGTGAAAAGGAATCCCCATGAATAATAGTATTCATTCGCTTCCACAAATCCTGAAAAGAGTCTACAGTCTTTTTCTTGAAACGAGATCATTTCATTTTTTCGACTAATAATCTTGTCATCCGCGTCATTAGTGATCAAATCTTGGACTGGTGCACCAACTGAAACAACTTTTTTTAGGATTTATACTAACATATTATGTCCTATAATTGTGGCATGACTAATATTTCTAAAAATATTTTAATCATGTAAAATAATTTTTTTAGAAAAAAGCTATAGAAAATAAAAATTACTAGATTTAAAAAAATATATATTTTGAATCTTGAAATGATATATTGTTTTGATTTGGATAAATTATCGGAAAAAATTATAGAGGTGGATTTTTATTTCATTCAATAAAAAAAATGACACATAATAAGTAAATTTTTTTCTAAAAAAAGAGGGTTGTTAGTTGCAGGTAGTGGCAGCAAAATGAGCCTATATTTTTGTGACCCGCTCAAACCGCCCTTATTTTAATGGGTAGGGTGAGTGACTTCTCACATGGGTAAAATATGGGTTGATACCATATTTGACCAATAAAAATATGAGTAAATTACGGGTAAAATATGGGTAAAGTATGAATTAGCTAAATGAGTTAAGCTACTAACTTTTATTTACTCAAAATTCGATATCACTAAAAATAGTGTAATTTCTCTTCCTTCTTATGTTATTCTATAGAACTAACTATTCTTCTCTCTAAATAAAAAGGTGAAGTCTTTGACCCTCCAAAAATATAATTTAAATCTACATTTATTTTGTTAATTATACTTACATTTTATTTATTTAATTAATTTTATATTGGATAATCAATAATAGTGTAAAATAAGCAAATCATGTATTAGTATTGGCATCGCTTAAAGTGCATTAAGCATGTTTTAGTCCTAAATGCAAATATTCATTTGCTTTCAAATTAAAAATATGTTTTCTTGTTATTACATAAATTCATTTTACATTGAAAATTTCTAGGATTTTTTTTATGATACAATAAAACTAAATGAAGCACGTTTAACATTTTCATTAAAAAAGACTAAAATATCTTGTCCAAATTTAATTCTTAAGTAAAGTACTATTTATTCATGAAAATATGGGTAAATTGTGGTTGATACGTCTAAAATCCGGGAGTTTTTAAGGATGAATCCTCCAAGATTCACTGATTCAAGCATCACTGAGGATCCAAAATACTTTGCTGAATAGCTTGCAAAGGTTTCTGAGATTATGCATGTTATTGACGCTGAGAGAGTGGAACTAGATGAATATACCAATTGAAGGGTGTCACTAGAATCATAAGGGACCTACTTTATCATGTTGTAGTGCACCTTCACAAATGAACAAATGTGAGTACAATAGTCAGAATTCATTGAATTTTAGAGATAGATCTGTGCATGCTCAAGGTACATAGTGCGGCAACCAGAGATAATTGGGCTCCTAAATCTTTTAAGTTTGATGGGAACCACCCAAGAACGTTTCACAATGGCTCCATTGGTTGTTACAAGTGTGGTCAAGAAGGTAGTTTTATGAAAGAGTGTCATAAAAATAGGCGGGGTAGTGTATTTAGAGTCAATAGAGCTCAATATTCTTCAGTTGCTCCACCAGACGGGGCTGGTGCACCTAGAGGTTGTACTTTCGGAACTGGAGGAGGAGAAAACCGCCTATATGCTATCACAAGTCACCAAGAGTATGAGAAATCTTCAGATGATTTCACAAGTATGATCAAAGTATTTACTTTTGATGTTATGCTTTTTTAGATCTAGGAGAAAGCCTATCTTTTGTGACTCCTTATGTTTCCCTTAATTTTGATATTCTTCCTGAGCAACATCTTGAGCCCTTCAGTATTGCTACACTTGTTGGTGAGTCTATTCTAGCTGAGATTGTATCGTGATTGTACCATTTCCGTCAATCACAAAAGAACCATGGATGACTTAGTTGAGTTAGATATAATTTTGAATTCATTCTAGGTATGAATGGTTTCATTCTTGTTATGACTCAATCGATTGAAGAACTCGAGTTGTGAAGTTCAAAATCCCTAATGAGACACTTATTGAGTGGAGAAGTAGTTTTGTAGTGCCTAAGGGTCATTTTTTTTTGTATCTTAAGGCGATAAAGTTAGTTTCTAAGGGTTGTTCCTATCACTTTGTTAGAGTTAACGACTCTAGTGTTGAGATGCCTCTTATTCAACAAGTCGCAGTTGTGAGTGAAGTTTCCAGATGATCTTCCCGAAGTCCCTCATATGAGAAATAGACCTCGATATAGACATTATTTTTTATATTTCTCATATCTCCATTCCTCCATATAGAATGGCACCACCATAATTGAAAGATTTAAAAGAGCAGTTCAAAGATCTCCTTGAGAAATGTTTTCTCTGACCAAGTGTCTCACATTAGGGCACTTCGGTCTTATTTGTGAGAAAGAATGATGGTTCCTTAGAATGTGCATAATTACCTCCAGTTGAAAAAGGTTGCTATCAAGAATAAACATCCTCTTTAGTGAACTGATGATCTCTTCAATTAATTTTAAGGTGCGACTTGTTTTCAATAATAGACCTTAGATTTTGTTATCATCAGTTGAGCATAAGAGAAAGTGATATCTCTAAGAAAATTTTTAGGACTTGTTACGGTCATTATGAGTTCCTTGTTATGTGCTTTGGTTTGACCAATGCTCCTGCAACATTCATCAATTAAAAAAATAGTTTACTACTACCATTTCCCACACTTTCAGCATGAGAGAGTTATTTGGCTAAGGTGGAGGCTTAGTATAATAGCTACTTCTCGATGTTCGAGAGAAACCGAGTTGATACGGGGTAAGTTACTCAAGAGATATTTTACCCCCATTAAAGTCTAGACAAGTTTTGAATTCACAGAAACTCTTCTATTAATACCATGTACGTGGTAGTTTAGTTAAACTCATATTCCTATCACATCCCAAGAATCCCGTCCCGTTCATATATTTCGTACTTTATGCTGTTTTTAGTTGCCAATTTGCCTAAGAACTCCCATTCTTAATTGAGACTTGTGTCACTCTTTTTTATTAATTATGTTTTTAATCGATAATTTATTTTAGCTATGACAAGCATTACCGAATTTATACTTGGTTGAATTATTCTCGAAATCACTCCCTGTGGGAACGATCCAAACCCTGTGTTTGGGTGATATACTGACTAACAATTGTGGACGCTTAGAATTTGATGATGTGCCTTTGATGACGTTGGTCAGTCTAATATTAGGTTCTTCTCTTGTGTTATAGAGGGGAAAATGATTTCTAAGGGTTGCATATATCATCTTATTTGGGTTAGGGATATGGAATCAAAAACCCCATACTTCAGCCGTTCCCCATTGTTACTCAATTTCTAGAAGTGTTTCCCCATGATTTACCTGGTGTTCCCCCTGAAAGGGAAATAAATGTCATTATTGAGCATCTCTTAAATAGACAACATACCTCTATTCCTCTTTATTGTATGTCCCCAACTAAACATGAGGATTAAAGGGAGTAATTATAAGATTTATAGGATAAGGGTTTAATCTGACCGAGTATCGCTATATGGGGTGCTCAAGTTTGTTTGTTCGAAAGAAAGATGGTTCACTTCTCATTTGTTTTTACTACAATTTTTTTAAACAAATATACCATTAAGAACAAATATCCACTTCTAAGGATAGATTATTTATTTGATCAACTAAAAGGTAGAAGTAGTTCTTTAAGATTAACCTCCGGCTGGATTATTAACAATTGAGGGTAAAGGAAGATGACATTCTGAATATGGCTTTTTGAACATATTATTGGCCTTATAAGTTTTTTAAAATGTTGTTTGGCTTGACTAATGCTCCGATTACATATATGAATGATGAATAGGGTGTTTAGAAAATACATTGACATGTTTGTGATTTTTCTTATCGATGACATCTTGATATAATCAAGGATTGAAGATGAGTATACTAATCATTTCAAGATTGAGTTGCAAATTCTCAAGGAACAACAACTCATTGCAAAGTTTAGCAAACGTGAGTTTTGGTTAAGATCGATGGCTTTTCTGGTACGTTTTTATAAGCCTATTGGAGTAGATACTAAGTAGAAAGATAAGGTTAAGAATTGGCCTAGATCTCAATCACCTCAAGATATTCTAAGTTTCTTAAGTCTGTTTGGTTAATATAGAAGGTTTTTTTAGAGTTTTTTTTTAATTGCCTCTCCATTGACGGCATAGACCAAAAATAAGGTCAAGTTCATATGGTATTAATCGTGTATGAAGTCGAGAATATCTCAACTTCAATGTTCACTTAACTAGAAGAATCCAATGGATCTGTGGTTTATTGTGATGCTTCAAGAGTTTATATAGAGTGTGTTCTTATGTGAAATGGGAAATAATGACTTATGCTTCTTGATGACTTAAGATTCACGAGAAGAACAACCATACCCATGATTTCAAAATAGAAGTGGTTGCTTTTGCCATAAATATTTGGAGGAATTACATTTATGGTGTTAATGTTGATGTATCCATCGACCACAAATGTTTTTAATATGTGTTCAAACAGAAAGATCTAAATTTTTGCTAATGAAGGTGGCTTGAGTTACTAAAGGATTATTACATGAGTATTCTCTATCACCCAGCAAAGTGAATATGGTGACGGATGCTCTAAGTCGGTAATCAACGGGTAATGATGCTCATATTTAGAATGGGAAGAAGAAACTGGTAGAGATATTCATAGATTGGCACGATTGAGTACTTAGTTGGTTGACTCTTCAAAAAGCAGTGCTATGGGACATAATGGTTCAAAATGGTCTTTTGTGTTAGGTGTTAAACCAAGAAAGGTCGTGATTCAAATATTGTTGAATTGTAGGATGTGGTTCTTAAGAAGCTATGTTGAAGGAAGTGGTTTTCTTAAGAAGGATGTTACTATGAAATTTCATCTACAAACCGATGGGCAAGTAGAGTGTACTATCCAAACTTTGGGATCTATGTTGAGAGTTTGTGTGGTTGACTTTAAGGTAATTAGAATGATCATTTCATTTTGATCGAGTTCTCTTACAATTATAGTTATCATTCCAGAATTTGTATTACTCCATTTGAGGCTCTCTACGGGAGGAAGTGTAGATCTCTGATAGGTTGGTTTGAAGTTGCTGAAGTTGCCTTGATAGGTCTCAATTTGGTACATGAAGCAATTAAGAATGTTCGTCTTATTAGAGTAAGATTGAAAACAACTCAAAGTCGACAAGTCTATGTTGATGTTAAGAGGAGAGATCTTAAGTTATATGTTCATGATTGGGTCTACTTTATAATTTCCCCAAGAAGGGTGTGATAAGTTTATGGAAAAAAGAGAAGTTTATTCCCCAATATGTGGGCCCGTATCATATTTTTAAGTGTTTCCATAAATTTTCTTTATGAACTTTATTTGCCTAATGATTTGGCATTGGTGCATCCTGTTTTTCATGTATCCTTATTGAGGAATGTGTGGGAGACCTTACATCCAATGTTTCTTGGAAGGTTTGGCAGTTAAGGAGAATTGTTCATAAAAAGAATTTTCGATTGAAATTTTGGACCGATAACTTAACAAATTTAGAAATAAGGAAGTTGCTTCTGTGAATGTTCTTTGGAGGAATTAATTAGTTGAGGGCGCAACTTGGGAGGATGACGGTTATATGAAGTCACATTATGCTCATCTATTTCCCTACAACTTAGGACATTTGATGGTCATATATGGTCAGTAGGTAGACCTACTAACCGCATATGGTCCCCATCAATGGATGGTAAACATTTACGTCTCTAAACCTTACCTAAGATTGGGAAGGACGATCCCTAGGTCCGACAGTTATTTTAAGAGGGGCTTTTGGGTATTTTTCTAATTATTTTAACCCAATATTATTTCATTTTACATTCTATGATAATCCCTGCATAAGTGTTTCAAACCCCCAAATTACCCAATTGAACTCATTCTCTGAAATTCTCAAAGGTTGATCTAATTCTTTTCCAAAATTCTCTCTCTAAAGCTTGAAGAGCAAATCTGGTGTTTCAAGATCAAGTCTCTGAATTCACCAATAATTATTGGATTTTAACATCAATGTATGATAATATTCACCTATGAAGCCCTATCCTCAATAGGGTTCCTAAATTCTCCAATTTAAGAAGTTAGAATCTTTAATTGAAATTAGGGTTTTGTTCAATCAAATGGGTTATTTTCAATGTACAATCAAAATTATTGTTTTATGTCTTTTTATACTTCAATTGAAATAATTACATGTTTTCAAGTTTAATTCACTTGGATCCATGCATGATCTTTGGTTATTAGATTTGATCATATGATGAAAGGTCCATTTATGAAAGATGAATTTATAAAGATATCCATTTTTCTTTATGATATTATTGTAAGTGATTTGATGCTGCTTTGAGAGGGAGGCATTTATGTTGTTTTCAATGGTTGTGAAAGGGTTTTCTCATATTAATGGATTCATAAGGAAGAAAGGTTTTCACAGACAATTTGAATAACTATACATGAGCTATTATAATGAACTCTAGCTTGGATTGGCTACCTAATTGAGACTTTATAAGGATAATACGACAAGAAAGATTAATGACTATTCCATGGGATTTATACTTTGCACCAAAAGGATATTGATCTATAAGCTCTCCGTAGTTGAGACCAGGTTTCTAGTAGAAATCTCCTCGTGCCATAAGTATGTTTTATAAGAAGTTATCTTAGATAGACATTAGCTAGTGGATCCACTTTAGCTTAGATTTATGGTGCTCACCTTGGCAAGTAAGGACATCTCTTTTTGGTATGGGATAGACACCAGATTCCATATTACATCTCTCATGGTCTATGTCGGTTAAAGGTAAATCTCTCACAATAATGAACTATGGATACTTTCTAAAAGTATCTCAAATTTATTTCAAAA